AAGATCTCTGAATATTTTTAAACACGAGAATATACAATATAATACAGCAAATGGCCTTTTGAAAAGTGATTGAAATGATAAATTCTAAGTTAAAATGTAAGATAAGAATTGAAAGTACGAGAATTGTTGTCACATTCTAAACCTATTAAAAAATCACAACTGGTTCATGTGGAATGAAATGTGTAGACATATATGCCTCGTACGTCAAGCCCCACAGCAATTAGTGCGTAACTCAATCGTTTATGTAGGTTTTGAACGTGCATTTGTGTTTTCATGAATATGATTTTGCAGTCCGCATGGATAGCTCAACTGGTCATAGAGGTGAAATTTTGGAAGAATGATCAGGGATCGAGTCTCACCAACGGTAGTTGTGAGCAACCTCTTAAAATGAGGGGGGCTCCTTGTGCACAGTGAGCATCGGTCTAGCCTCTGTGGTTCATGTTCAGTTGAGTTATCATGATTTACATCCTTCCAAATGCTCTGTCGGGGTAATGAATATGATTTTGCAAATTTATGAACCACGGACACCGAATGTGAACCAATATATTTATAGACATATAATCACCCTTTCACTCCTATTCCTGTGGTTCATGTTCAGTTGAGTTATCATGATTTACATCCTTCCAAATGCTCTGTCGGGGTAATGAATATGATTTTGCAAATTTATGAACCACGGACACCGAATGTGAACCAATATATTTATAGACATATAATCTCCCTTTCACTCCTATTCCTTATATGAGACAAACTCATATTCCTAATCCTTATATGAGACAAACACAACAAATCTCCACCTTGGCGAATATGACCTTTAGGAGAAAATACTTATCTAACTATCTCCACCTTCGCAAATAAGCCCTTTAGGAGGAAAAAAAACTCATCTCATAGTCTCCCTGGATTAGGACCACCATGTTCATTTAACATCTGGAAACACCCAACAAGTCCAAACAATGTTTGAACTTGTCACTAGTAACTGCCTTTGTCAACATGTCTGCTGCATTCTCACTTGTATGAATTTTTTGCAACAAAATCTCACCAGAAACAACCAACTCTCTAAACTTATGAAACCTTACATCAATATGTTTGGTTCTGGCATGGTACACTTGATTTTTAGCTAAGAAGATGGCACTTTGATTGTCACAGTGTAATTGAACTCCATCTTGCTCAATACCCAACTCCTTAATCAAACCTGAAAGCCACAAAGCCTCTTTAGCTGCCTCAGTCACAACCATGTATTCTGCTTCAGTTGTAGACAAAGCTACAATAGATTGAACTGATGATCTCCAGCAAACAGGACCACCCCCAAGAGTAAAAACATACCCTGTTGTAGAACATCTATAATCCATGTCACCAGCATAATCAGAATCCACATATCCCATGAGTACATGTTCATTCTGTTGACTCCCAAATACAATATCATGCTCCATAGTGCCCCTTAAGTACCGGAGAATCCATTTAACTGCCTCCCAATGCTGCTTCACAGGTTTAGACATGTACTTACTAACTTGGCTAACAGCATGAGCCAAATCAGGTCGAGTACAAACCATTGCACACATTAAACAGCCAACTGCACTAGCATAAGGAACCTTTGCCATATTTTCAATCTCACTAACTATTTGAGAACACTGACTAGATGAGAGTTTAAAATGATTAGCCAAAGGGGTACTAACCGGTTTAGACTTACTCATCCCAAACCTGTCAAGAATTTTCTCTATATAACTCTGTTGAGTTATCTTTTTCTCCTAAAGAGCATATTCGCCAAGGTGGAGATAATCTTTTCTCCTAAAGGGCATGTATGTGAAGGTGGAGATGGTGAGATAAGTCTTTTCCCCTAAAGAGCATATTCGTCAAGGTGAAGATTTGTTGAGTTATCTTTTCTCCTAAAGAACATATTCGCCAAGGTGGAGATTGTTAAGTTTGCGAACAAAAAAAATTTAAAACATGTTATCTTAGAGCAAACCCATTTATTAGGGGTATTTAATGGTCTTTCACTAGTACATATAACAGCACATCAGCTATACTTGTATAAAGAAATCCGCTATACTTATACAAGTATAGCAGATGTAGGTGACGCGGAAAGACTTAAACTTTCCACTACACCTATATATATATATATATATATATATATATATATATATATATATATATATATATATATAGGGTTGCATTCACATGGAAATCCCCTTAAAATACAAACGTGCGGACAAATATGGGCCATAAGATTAGAGTAGATTAACAGATTAGATTTAAGGGAATAAAAATATTTTAGAATCCTAATTAATGATTATAAGGGCAGTTAAGATAATTACATGCTAGCCTAATTACCGTAAAAATGAGAACTTGATATTTAATCTAAATTAAAGAAGACTAATTATAGTATGATTTAACGAAGTAATAGAAAACGCAATCCCCTCTACCAACGGCAGTCCACCCCTACGACAAACACCATACAGAAACGGTTTTCCGGCATAGCACCACATGAATGCGAATTTGGTGTATATGTCGCCTTCACTACCAGGTAAACAACCCAAATTGATTATGCTAGTTTTAGGACAGTGACAGCGTGAATCGAAGATGGCTACAGTAGAAACGGGTAATCACTTCTGTTCGAATGAAGCAGTGTTGTAACTACTATATGAGTTTGCATTATTCACTGTAAATCAACCGTTAGAAGAGTTTTAAGGTTTAGCAAAACAAGACCATGAGATAGGATGGGGAATTGATCACAAGGGGTTCAAATAAACAATGTTATATTGGGGGTTACATGACCATGGGGTAATTAAGGTACTGGAAACATGTAGAAAAGGGAATAAGATAAAACTGGGTGTGATCATGGGCAATCAATTGAATAAACAAAAGCAGATAGAAATTCTAGACAAATCTAAATTTTGGGAATGATAATGGGTACTATGCACACATCTAAGTTATGGCTTGCACACATCTCGTATCCCATGCAGTGCGTATTGTGTGTTTTGAAGTCATACAAAGAGATGTTTAATCGAAATCATAAAATTAGTAACAAAATGATGATGATTTGGTTGGTTGGTGTAGTTCACAGGTGGTAAGCAAAATGTTGGTGGTCTAGTTAATGCAAAGTTATTACAGTAAATATTTTATAATCCGTGCTTCACGAACATGAGATACTGTGTGTGCACGGTGGCTGATTGGTGTGTGCACAGGATGATCTAAATTCGAAATTAAAGTTAGAACTGGAAATCGATGTTCAGTAACGTGTTCATTTGAATACTCGTGTGTGTGCACTAACAAAAAGTTGTACAGTACAATGTGCATTTTATTACTCATGTGTGTGCACTAACAGAATTGACGTGGTCTTAATACAAATACAAACTAGTCTGTGCCCATTTCACGGGGGTGGATAACAATAAGAAGTCAATAATATTTGGAGCAGGCATTATTACTAAAGAAGATGTAGACTTCAATGAGTGGCTTCTGTAAAGATTCAAAACCACCATGCAATATGCACCTCAATGTATCGTCACTGATCAAGACCTAGCAATGAAAATTGTTGTCTCAAAAATACTCCCAACAACAAGGCACCGGTTCTAAAAATGGTAGCAAACAAGCCATCCTCGAATCACTAGTTGGGAAAGGCATACTGAAGAAGTCTACATAAAACTACCTACAGTAGCAAAAAACAAAGGGAGTGGCAAACGGTACAAAAGCACCAATGAAAAAGCAATAGAGAAGAGAATGAAAGGAGGACAAAAGTGCCAAACATGCGAGATTAAAAATCACCATGACAGCCGCAATTGTCCAGACAAAACAGCACCATCAGAAAACTAGACTACCATGATGTTTGAAATACGAATAAACTGATTATAAATTAGTTGCAGTGCATACTAAATAGACTGCAAATCTATTTTGTTTTTTAAATGACTTATAATTGAACAAAGTAAATGCTATAGTTCCTTGTTTTTAATGTACTAAGCATGCATGAAATTACAGTTCTGGGAACGGTGTGCACACTTAATTGGACGTTAGTGCACACATGCCGGTAGGAAAGCATATATAACCATTAATGTGCAATCCAACTATCAGCTTAGGCTTTTAGTTGAGATAGAACACATGCTTCAATTTGGTATCAGAGCCAGACTAGAGGTCACGGGTTCGAATCTCAGCGCCACTCATAAGCGACTACGGTTTACCGGTCCACGTGTTGCTTGGAACCCACCGCACACGTGACGGGGAGTGTGAGCATATATAACCATTAATGTGCAATCCAACAATCAGCTTAGGCTTTTAGTTGAGATGGAACACATGCTTCAATCTAATAGCCTAGTCTAAGTCAAACAGACTAGCACCACATAAAATAATAAACCTATTACAATAAATATAACAATAGAATATGTAACATTATTAACAGGAAAAAGTATGCATGTTTTGGGGATGTAATATCTTTTGACGCAACATACCCGACGATCAGGCACGTTAATTATTTATAGTAAAGTTATTACAGTAATAGCATTCGAACCGTGATTAACAATCATGAGATACTGTGTGTGCACAACGGCTAATTGATGTGTGCAAAAGCAGTTCGAAGAACCAGATAACACATGCAGAACTGGAAATCTCTGTTTAGTATTGTGTGCATTGTAATTCTCCATTAAGTGCACTTGCAGAAGTGCCTTGGTTATAATATTGATGTCTGTGCATACTGGCTAATAGGTGTGTGCACAGGCAATTATAAGATACGAATAACATACTCAGAACTAGAAATACTAGTTTAGCAATGTGTACGTTATAATGTTCATGTGTGTGCACGTACTCCATATATGGTTTGCGTTTTCTTATTGGTGTGTGCACAGGTAGTTCTAAGATCTAATTAACACGGTCAGTACTGAAAACCCTTGTTGACGATTGTGTGCATTTTAAAACTCCTGTGTGTGCACTAACATGGATACATGAATATTGACCACCCACAAAGCTAAACGGCGCACAATACTATACACCACTTAGATCTACAGTAGAAGAGTTATTCATTGAACAAAAAGAAAGAGAAATAGCATAGGTCCAAAAATATAGCACCATAACACCTAATGAGTTACAGTAGGTAGAATGGTAGTGTAACTGTCAAAAAGTAAACAAGTTACGTCATCAAAAAGCATAACCCAGAATCAATATAGTTCTCCCAAAAAATGAATTGATAATAAAGAATCCATAATCTGGAATGCAACACTAAATAGCAGCCAGCGAAGTAGAAATAAACTGAAACACCCGAACTAGGTTGCTACTTCTATGAAGATTGAATTAAGAGATCGCAATTTCCTTCATGTAATGTAACCTGAGCTGGTGCAGCTTAGAATTGTCACATTTGGTAATGCCACACTCCCATTTGGGCACCCCTGCTTACGTACGTCCCCATGTGGCGCATGACATACACCCGACAATCGACTTTATTCTTCGAATCCCGCCAACTCACTACACTACACAAAGAACACAAAGATTAGTAAATTGCACACATTCACATCAACAAATGTACACAAATCACTACACTACATCACCACAAGAAACAACAAGGCCACAAGAATAATCAACAACTAAACCAAAATAACAAAAGAAAACAATAGACCCAAAAAAAGAATCAGGATTGCACACAGTCGCACAGAACAATGCACACGGACACTACGAAGTAAAATAAACTGTAATGCATGTGCTGAAGATCCCTAGATGGCGTTGAGTGTGCACACCAGTGCACACACCTGCAAAAGACACACCAGTAACACAACTAAAATGTTTATTATTTTAAGAATATTTGTTCAATTTGTCTCCCCAAACTTAAATAATTTAAATATTTGTAGTTTTATTATAGACGTATACCAGTGTTTACATGTAAGAATATTCATTGCCAAATCGGACAACCATTCGACAAGCACACCTTCAACAACACACTAAGCAACAAGAGCAGCAATAAATAAATAACATAGGAAGAAAAATACGAAAGTCCAGAAATATAGTTTAGCCAAAAAAAAAAAAAAAAAAAACCAACCAAATTTACGAAATCAAATGCAATGCAAAAAAATCAATCAAAATATACAAAAATCATATGTTTAAAAAAACGAGAAACCACAAATATCATCAGTTTATCTCTTATTCATATGAAACACCAACAAATATTATAGAAGGTACAAAATCAAATGCAAGGCTAAACAATCCATCAAAATGCACTAACCAATTGGAGAACAAGAATCCCTAACTGGAGCAGCGAAAAACACAATTGAAAAAAAAATGACAGACTAGAAATCCAAAGACAAACCCTAATCTGCAAAAAATCCCAAAATCGTGGCAAATTCGGCAACCCCGCCCCTGCCGATTAACATACCCAACAAGGAAACATAACAAATTGACGGAAATCACCCACCCACGAGAAGAAAAAAAACTAACGACACAAATAACAACACTAAATTGACCAAAAGGAGGAAAAACATACATCTATCAACAACTGGACCCAGTGGTCCCCGCCGTTTGCCTGGTCTATGGTGCCCAGCGAATACCATCTGTGTGGAAGAATAGTTAAAACAACGAACCAAACGACCATCGTCCGCTGATAATGATGAAGGGGAATCGAACGACGTAGGGGAGTTCTTCGGCAACATGTGATACATGGAGAAAGAAATATGGCTAAACAATTCGAAGAGGCGCGTTAAATGCAGAAGTATAATTTGAAACGATTAGATCAATACTAAAATCCCTAAATTACCCCACCCTAATAATAAAAACAGGCGCACGCCATTTAAATTCCCATAAATAATTAAATCAATCATATCCATCCAACGCCACAATCCAACGATCATAAGCAATCCTCATGTTTGTATTTTAAGGACTGTTTGTATTTGAATATAATCCTATATATATATATATATATATATATATATATATATATATATATATATATATATATATATATATATGTATGTATGTATACACATATATAAAGGGTCAATTGAAAATTGATCTTTAGGTGAAAAATGCGCACAGAATGTGGCCATTAGATTAAAAAAAAAAATAGATCATTTAAGCCTTTGAGCTTTAATGAAATAGGTGGTGGTAATTATATAATTTTCGTAATGTTAAATGAAACGCGCATTGTTAAAGGGAAAAAAAAAAGTAAAAATTAAAAATTAAAAAAAAAACATAAAAATAACCCCTAAATAGAGCAACTCCGCGCACTTTAATTTTATGCATCCAGTGCACATTGTTGTGCCTTATAGAGCACATTATTTGGTCTTATAGAACATATTGTTTGGTTTTACAGAGCACATTGTTTGGCCTTACAGTGCACATTGTTTGTCCTTATAGTGCATATTGTTTGTCCTTACAGAGTATATTTTGATTAAATAAAACTTCATAGAATATGTTTATTATACGATTTTTGGCATGTAATATATGAACATAGCACATTGTTTAGCCTCATTACAGAGCACATTGTTTAGCTTTATAGTGCACATTGTTTGTCCTTATAAAATATCATGTAAGTGCACAACGAAAACTGTGAATAATCTCTTCAAAATGTTACAGTACATATTTTTTTGGGTAATAGAGCACAGTTTTCATTCTTATAGTGCACATTGTTCAGCCTTATAGTGCACATTGTCCTTTCTTCCGGTGTACATTGTTCTTCTTCCAGTGCACATTGTTCCTCCTTCCAGTACACAATTTCTATTTTTTCAATGTATATTGCATCTCCTTCCAGTGCACATTGTGCTTTCTTCAGTGTATATTATCTCCATATAGCTTTAAGTGCACATTGTTCTCCCTTCGAGTGCATATTATTTCCCCTTTCAGTGCATATTGTCCCTTATTCCAGAGCACAATTTTCTCACTTCCAAAGCACATTGTTGAATCCAGTGCAAAGAATGTGCATGAATGAATGAATACAGTGGTGATTTCATGTCTATGAATGAATTAAAATTAAAAAATAGTCCAAAAACGAAATAGAATAATTTGCAATTGGGTTTACCTTCATCCATTATGTTGATTGAATAGATTTTGCAATTGATTATGCGAATGAAGGAGATCCAATTGATTTGATCGAATTTCGTTGATCAATAAGAAAGAATAAGGCAAATTATGCAGTGCATCCGTATGCACCATGCATGGTGCATACGGATGCAAAAACGACGTCGTTTTATTAAAAACGCGCGTCCCCCCTTTAAAAAAAAATTCAGGTTCGATTCCCAGCAACAACATATGAACTACAATTCAAGAATCGATGAACTATAATTCCATAATCTAATCTATGAACTAAAAATTTCAGAATGAATGAACTAAAATTCCAGAATCTATGAACTAAAATTTCAGAATCGATGAACTACAATTCCAGAATCGATGAACTATAATTCCAGAATCAATGAACTAAAATTCCATAATCTATGAACTAAAATTCCAGAATGAATGAACAACATAATGCTGTTGCTGAGAATCGAACCTGATTTTTTTTAAGGGGAGACGCGCGTTTTTAATAAAACGACGTTGTTTTTGCATCAGTATGCACCATGCATGGTGCATACGGATGCACAGCATAACTACTCAAAGAATATCGTAGAGTTAGTTAGCAATTTATGCGTTAAGAAATTAGGGGAATTACAGATTGTGTTATTTTATTCTAGAGTTGTTTAATTAATCTTCTGCGTTGGATTAAAACAGTTCTATGGCATTCATTCCATCAGATTTTCACCTAGAGAACTTAATGCACAAAAGCCTAAGCCTATATATATATATATATATATATATATATATATATATATATATATACACATACATACATACATACATACATATATAGGGATGCACACAGGTGCGAATAAGTGCCTAGGAAGGAATATGCGAACGAATCAGCGCGCGACACGTGTTCAGATCGAATAGCTTAAAAAAAAACGCGGTAGCATTTTCGTAAATAATTAAACATCGAAGTGCAAGTAAAATCACTTACAAGTGCACCTACTTTCACCTATAAATGCATGTAATTTTGCCTTGTTAGCATTCACTTCCCGCAAACATTCATGCACCTGGGTGTGCTTATAACTATAGGTGCAACTATTTATAACTATAGGTGCACCTACTTTCACCTATAAGTGCATGTAATTTTGCCTTGTTAACATTCATTGATCTGAGTTCAGCGGGTAGTAATACCCCTGAAAACCACCCGCAAATATTCATGCACCTAGGCGTAACTACTTATAACTATGTGTGCAACTACTTATATCTATAGGTGCAACTACTTATAACTATAGGTGCACTTAGTATTGATGCTCAGTGTAAATTTTTATTTGCACCTATAATACATTTTACATGCACTTGTAATACATTTTACTTGCACTTCGATATTCAATTATTTACGAAAATGCCATCGCACTTTTAAAAAAAAATCAGTGTTTCTCATCCATTAGATCTGGACACGTGGACGGACAGAATCCATTCCTATTTCACTCCTGGGTGAAGCATTCGCACCTGATTGCGATTATATATATATATATATATATATATATATATATATATATATATATATATATATAAGTAAAATAAGTACTAGTACGTACGGAGTACTTAATTACTCCATATAAAAATTTCTATAACTTTTGTTAACGTTTTATTATTTTTTTAATTTCGAAACTATCAAGTTTATTTTTAAAAATTAATAATTTAATTATTATAGTTGAATATTTTTATTATTTTATGTTTTAGTATAACTAATGAATTTTATTATTTCATTATATGTAAGAAATTTAAATATTATTTTAAAAAGGTTAATAAGATAATTAGTGGGTGGGTGGGGGGGGGGTGGGTGGGATGAATTTTGAAAAAGTCCATCGGATGCAGTTTTGGATGGGAACTGAGTGAGGTGGGTGGAGAAAGTATAAGGTTGATTGGGTGGTGGATGCAACTCTCTCCAAGTCACCCCTAACCCATTGACATCCCTAATTACAAGTTAGATTTTCAATGAGAGCTTTTCATTGACCTTCTTACTTTGAGACAGTTGCTTAGGATTATAAAGTAGGGTTTATCTAATACACACCCTCTAACAGTATTGTGAGTTTCTCTCGTTAGTCTAAAAAAAAAATAAAAAGATTTATATACACTAGTTCACACCGGCATTTTCTTTCAATTAATATCCGAAGTCTTTTAAGTTAACAAATGATTAAGACTGACTTTGGAAAAGTAAAAAGTAGATAGATTGTTGGAGCAATTAAATTACTGTTGAAAAATAGCATTAAAATAGTATAAAATGGCATGTTAAGTGGCTGTTTTGTAATACAATTATCAGTGGGGTCCACTTCCGATTTGGGTCAAGTCAAAGTGGATTCGGGTTCTTCGTAGTAAGACGAAAAGATTGATATATTGTACGCTCAAAACGGATAATGGGTGAACGAGATATTGATTCTCAAAGTAGACCCATTGACTTGGAAATCAAATCCCATAATGAGATAAAAAAGGATTGATTCAAGCCTGAGCTCGTGTGCGTCGGCACCTGCGTGCACGAATGTCATCCGAAAATTGGCTGGCCTTGCGCCCTATGTTATGTCAACTTCCGGTATCATTTTTCAAACGCAAAGCCACTGGACTTGGCCTTTGGCCGAACCGAGCTATCATGTCTTGGCCTTGGCCGAGACCATGGTCCAAGGCCGAAAGTTCGACCTTGGGAGGTCAAAAGTTGCCTTGGCCGAGACCATGCGAACTTTGGGAGGTCGAAAGTTGCCTTGGCCGAGACCATGGTCCAAGGCCGAAAGTTCGACCTTGGGAAGTCGAAAGTTGCCATGGTCGAAGGCAGAAAGTTCGACCTTAGGCGGCCGAAAGTAACTCGAGAGGAGGCTGAAAGTAACATAGAGAGCAGCTCGTGTGTTGCTGGTTTCAACCCTTGTCGAGAGGAGGCTGAAAGTAACTCGAGAGGAGGCGGAAAGTAACACAGTTGGGACATTTGGGATTAAATTCATCCGTTATGGAATTAATTGTATATTAATTCCAATTTTGAATTCTGAATTTAATCTCCAGGTAGTGGACTACTGTTTCAAAGGTTAAAAGGTTACAAAGATTGGCTTTATGTCAATATTGAATGCCTTAATGATGCTATCATTCCATCATCCCTATATAAGAACGGAGTTGAGCAGCAGAAATTTGTGAACAAGAACAAGAACAATAGGATACACACTTACACGTTTTCCAGCTCCATAACATCTGCTTCTTCTCCTTTATTCCTACTGTGTTCTACCCGTGCTCTAGTTCGCCGGGTTCATTCGTTTAGGTGCTCGAACGTCGAACCGTAATATGTTTTATCCTGGGAAGCCTAGGCCACAATGCTCCTAGCACTTTTGGAGGTGGCAAATAAGGTTGTAAGGAAAAAGGGCACTTCGCCTGACTCGTACTTACCTTCTTTCTTCCTCTTCTTCTTTCGTGTTGGATTATGCTCTATTGCTCTTAGCAAAACTCCTCTCTCTTTTTTGTTGTAGCGATTATATATATTTGTGTGTGTGTGTGTGTGTGTATATATATTTCGGATATATATTCAATAATATTTTATATATTTTCGTGTGTATATATAAATATTATTTTGGGATATTAAATTGATTTGGTTCATTATTCAGAACAATCTTAAAACCTTATTTTTGTATGAACAAGTCGATGGATTCCAAGAGTATTGGAACAGTGAATGTTGCTTGTGGTGCACATT